ATTTGGATTGAAAGGGGCTTAATTTGGGGAGTTAATAAGGGAGTAATAATGGCTAGAATTAATGAGAGAGAGGGATGAGTGGCCGGCCATGTGGAGAGGGGAGAGGCTTGAGATTTAAGTAGGTGGGGACCACTAGTAATTAATCAAAATCTGAATTTTTATTTCAGATTTTAATTGCCTCATGTAACTCCCTAATTTGAATTAAAATTAGGAGGGAATTTGGATTTCAAAAGATTGTAACTCCCCTTGATTAATTCCCTAATTTAATTTGACTTAATTAGGCAAGTCATTAATGAGGGAAATTCAAAATTGAAGGAGGGGGGAGAGGGGCCGGCGGTAGGGACTCATGGGTGGTCGGCGGCAAGGGATCTTGCAAGAGGCCGGCGGCTGCAGGGTGGAGGGTTGGCCGGCGGGAGGAGCTTTGCAGGCCGGCGGGTTGAGCCTTGCAAGCCGGCAGCCGGGATGGCTCCGAGGGGATCGACGACAACAAGAGGAGGGAAGGGAAGAGCTAAAATCTGAGAATTTTCGTTGCTATGATTCCACTTACCTCTTTATCTTCCAAGATCGGATCTCAACACAATAAAATTGGACGAAATCTAGAACTCACAAAGAGATCTAGTTTCTCCTTTGAACTCACTAAGAGATCTAGGAGAAGTGCACTCACAAAGAGAACAATGAGTAAATTTCTTCATTCATAAAAACTAACTATTACATAAGAAAAGGGTCATATATAGGCCTCCAAATGACAAAGAAAACAAAAGACTAAAATGTCCCTTGGGCTACAATAGCGACTAACTTCCTATAAGGGCAAAAACGGAAAAAACATAAAAATCAAATAAACTACTACATAAAATGACAAAAAAAAAAAAAAATACAGCTCATGATCGTGGCCGTCGATCTTCGATGTCCTCATCATATGTGATGTCTACTGAGATTTGGATCATTATAAATGATATTTCAACTTTTTTATTAACATATATTTTCAATGGAATTTTCAAAATTAAGATGATGCTATATGGTTGAAGATTCATTTTTATTCTAAAATTTAAGAATAAATGAGGTGTTTAAGATTATGCTACTTTAGAAGAATGAATTTATGAGTCAAATAATAAAATTATGAGAGATAACAATAGAGCATAAAAAATAAGAAAATTATGTTAAATTTGAAAAATCAGTTTTTGTTGATGTCAGGGTGATCCACTTTGGTAGCAATTTTTGTGTTAGGACACTTTTCAGAAAAGAATATAGAGCAAAGAAAATGATCTTCATATTAATTTTTTTTTAATCTTGAAAAGGCACTTTTAAGCGTTTATGTAGCTCTTGATATGAGATATGTTTAAGTACTCCGAGAATTGATTTGTTGTGTGTTAAGAAACAAATGTATGTTAAAAGTATGTTGAAGTAATTAAGAATATATATATATATATATTGATAGAATATTGACTAATCTTAAACATAGTTACGGAGTAACCCAAAAGTTTCAATTATAGTGTGATTACGTCAAGAATTAATATAATGTTTAAATGTGTCCTTTGAAATGAATAACTATCTTTAAGCATTTTTAGAGGGTATCTTTAAGCATTATTAAAGAGAAATGAATTATTATTTTGTTTATGATATATCTCAATAAATTACTTTCTTGTGATATTCATACTTAATGTAATCAATGCTAGTTAATTTAGCCCACATTAAAAAAGGACAAGTACTTGATTTAATTGATTGATTTGAAAATATAAATTTCAAGCCACGTTATATGATTTTCATTAATTGTATATCTTGTCATGTTATGTTTCAATTTTAAATTTAGACATAGTCATTCAAAATGGGTTTTTCTTTTGTAATTGAAGAAATTGTTTAGAGGAAAATTCAAATTCTATTATATTCCTTGAAATCATTACATATATATATACATTCTAGGAGAATAAACAGTAAAAAAAGAAAGACATGTAATCTAATTAATTATAATAGACAAAAGAGAAAAGACATTTAATATAATTAATTATAATAATCACATCCCACGGATCTCCAACTGCAGCCCACAGATTGCTGTCCATAGATTGCAGACGTGGCCTACCTTGGTTACGTGATTCAACATCCCACGGATTGCTGACATGGCCCCCCTTTGGCTGCGTGATTCAACACTCCCCCTCAAGTTGGGTTGTACAGGTTGTATAATCCTAACTTGCAAACAAACTTATTAAGTAGAGAGCCCAGTAGTGCCTTTGTTAGAACATCATCAAGTTGTTCATGAGTTGGGGTATACACTATTTCAATTTTTGAGTTCTCAATTTTCTCAAATATAAAATGTCTATCAATAGTAACCTGTTTTATTTTGTCGTGATGTACTGGATTCTTGACTTTATTGATTGCGGCTTGATGGTCACATTTCAACTTTATTGTGCCTTCAATCTTTATTTCTAATTCAATCAATACTTGTCTAATACTATCAAAAATAGTAACTGCTAGTGCTCTCAGTTGAGATTTTGCACTGCTTCCAAAAATAATAGATTATTTTTTGCTCCTTCACGTCACTAGATTCCCTCATACAAATGAACAATATCCTGTGGTCGATCAACTATCAACCTGGCTTCTTGTCCAATCTGCATTATAATAAAGAATCAATTTTATATCTTCATTTTTCTTGAATAATAGCTCATTTTTAGGAGTGTTCTTAAGATATTCAAGATTTAATATACTGTCTCCATGTGCTCCTTCATAGGATTACTCATATATTGGATTACCATGCTCACAACAAAGTCAATATATTGACAGGTGTGGGAGAGGTATATAAGATTTCCTACCAGATGTTGATATTTTCCTTTATCTACTGGAAATCCCTCGTTTTCTATCCCAAGTTTCTTCTTAGGATCCATTGATGTACTGGTTGGTCTGCATCCCAGCTTGCCAGTCTCCTTCAGCAGGTCTAACGTATACTTGCGTTAGGTGCCTTTGCTTGATTGAGCTACCTCTATATGAAGGAAATATCTAAGTGATCCTAGATCTTTAACTTCAAACTCCTTTAACAAAGCCTATTTGATTTTCATTATTTCCTCTATATCAATTCTAATAAGGATGATGTCATCCACATATACAATCATTACTGCTACATTTTCTCTTTCTGACTGCTTCACAAACAAGGTATGATTTGCCTGTCATTATCTAAAACCATGGCCTTTTATATACTTTGAGAATTTTCCAAACCGTGTTCTAGGAGACAACTTTAATCCATATAAGGATTTCAACAGTTTACACACTTTGTCCCTTCCATAAGACTTCTGAATCCTCATTGGAATATTGATGTATACTTTTATTTCAGGTTCCCATTCAAGAATGTATTTTTGATATCTAGTTGATGTAGGGGTTAATCTAAAATTGTTGCTAAGGAAGGAAGAATCATGATGGTGTTAAGCTTTATAACAGGAGAAATTTTTCCTGATGGTGTATTCCATAAAACTGAGTGAATTCCCGTGCAACCAGTTTAGCTTTCACCCTCTCAACACTACCATCCACCTTATGCTTTACAATGAACACCCATTTGTAAGTCACAACATTCTTTCCTTGTTGGAGATTCATAATCACCCGTGTTTGATTTTTTTTCTGAGGCCATAATTTCTTCTTTAACAGTCTGCCTCCATCTTGGGTAATTCAAAGCTTCTTGAATTTTGGTTGGAATCTGCACTTCATCCAACTTGGAAAGGAAGACTTGATAAGTGTCTAATAATCTGCTATAAGAGAGAGTTTTCGATTGGCTGCTTGGTGCATGATTCTTTCTGACCATTTGATGACTATATCTATTTTTTAACATTCTCATTTTTCTCCCCTGTATGAATTTTTACAGTTGCTGGATCCATTGAAGGAGAGTTGACAGGTGCAAAATGTGTCTCACTGCTCGACATATACTGATTTTTCTTTTTTTTCCTTGAGCATACATATTGTTTTTCCTTAATTGCTACTTTTTGCAGAGATTGATTAGGACTTATAGGTGGAGGTAATATGTTAGAAGGTGGAGTTTGAGACATAGGAGATATACCTTACGAAATACTCGTGGTTTGGATTTCTTGTGATATTTGTTGATTTTGACTGGACTCTATTTTTGGGTGTATTATAAGGAATTCCACTCAAAAGTTTGTAATTCTCCTTCACTCTCCCCATGAATTTCAAAACTACTGAAGTATGATTTGTTTTCAAAGAAGGTGATATCCATGATTTCAAATACTTTCTTAGAAATACGGAAAAAGCATATGTAACATTTTTTGTCGGGGAATAGCCAATAAAGACGCGTTTTTTTGATCTTGGGTTAAGCTTGCTTCTATCTTGTGGATATATATGAACAAAGGCAGAGCACCCAAAAATTTTAGGTGGAAGATTTGATGATATGAACTGAGTATGAGGATATAAGCTTTGAGTAGAGTTTGTTTAGGTGTTTCAAATTTTAGTACTCGAATAGGTAACCTATTTATTAGGTATGCAGTAGTAAGAATGACTTTCCCCAATAGATATTTTGGTACTTTTGTGAATAACATAATAGATCTGGTAACTTTTAGGAGTCGCCTATTTTTCCCCTCAGCTATTCCATTTTGTTGAGGCGTATGCGCATATGAACTCACTTGGATTATCCCTTGGCTTGATCTCATGATAGAATGGAAGTACTCTCTCCCATTGTTTGATTTTATGATTTGAATTTTTGTATCAAACTAGTTTGGAATCATTAGTTGAAATGATTTGAATATCCTTTCAACTTCAGAATTTTCCTTCATGAAATAAACTCAAGTGAGTCTAGTATGATCATCAACAAATATCACAAACCATCTTGCTCCATTTATATTTTTAACCCTTGAGGGTCCCCAAATATCACTATGGATCATGACAAAATTTAGAAGGTTGGTAAGGAACAATTGGGTAAGATGATTTGGTATGTTTAGCTAATTGGCAAATTTCACATTTGAACAAGCTTGGATTTTTATTTATAAATAAATGGGGAAAAAGTTTTTCAAGATAAAATGAGATTTGGATGACCTAACCTATAATGCCACATGATAATCTCTCTATCTTGACTGACTCTAGAATGACTATCAACCAATTGACTTATAATAGGATGATTCTTAGCAGCAATTTAAGGTTTGTATGAATTTGAGTGTCTTGATGTAATATAACCCAAAACACATCTCAACACTGCATATCTTCTTCTTTGAATTCAATTTCTAAAAAATACATACATTATTGGAGAAAATTGTTAAAAAATTACTATCGTGAGTCAATTTACTAATGGAAATCAGATTGCACTCAAGATTGGACACATAAAGCACCAATTTAAGGGCGATAGCTTCTATGAAAAAAGCAAAAGCAGTTCCCAAAACTTTGGATATTGAGCCATTAACAACCTTAACTACTCGATTTGAATGATAAGGTTGATAGTCATGAAGGAGTGTAATGTCCCTTGTCATGTGATATGATGCTCCTGAGTCTATTACCCAAAGTTTTGATTGTTTTATACTTGAGTGAGCGTGTAGGCTTGTAGCATGTTCCGTAGGAGGAAGATGAGAAGAGTTGTCTGCAGATCCATAGTTTCTGGTGTTTAAACCTGTAATATTTGGGTAGGACGATGAGATCTTGCTATCCATGGACATGATTGGGTTTCCTCAGTTGAAAGAGATGAATTTTGGGCAAGGGCTTTTGATGCTTGAAGAGAGGCTATCAACAAGATGATAGAGAGTTACCACAAGATGAGGGTTTCGAAGAAAGGGAGGAAGGTTTGTTGCCGGCACTTAGAGAAGGCTTAGGATTGCCTAAGCTCTGGTACAATGAAGAAATGGTTTAGAGGGAAATTCAAATTCTATTGTATTTCTTGGAATCATTACATATATATACATTTTAGGAGAATAAACAAAAAATCTAATTAATTACAATAATATTATACCACTGATCTCCAACTACCTCCCACAGATTGTTGACGTTCCACCCCCCCCAGTTGTGTGATTCAGCACTTTTGTCCTTAAACACTGTCTTGAAAATAAACTTCCTGATGCTTTAAGCGAGGTTGCCATTATTTTACATATAATGCAGGTTTAAGTGGTTGAATTTTATCATATTAAGAATAATGATGAATGTATCAGCTATAAGGAGTTTATAATGATATATATCATTACCTAAATTATAACTCATTTGCAAGATTTGATGCGTAAAGATTGTTATTTACTTAAGATGACATCTTTGTATTTCCTAATTCATATTTAAGTAGAGTTGCTATTTGGTTATATTAAGGGGATGTGGGTTCTGTTATATAATTCAAAATTTAAGTTGAACAAGTTAAGGTATGATGGATGAAAATCATAGAAATTTATAGTTTTAAAGACAACCAATTAAATCAAGCATTTGTCAACTTATGATGTAAATCATAAAAATCAAAATCATGAAAAATAGTCTAAATAGAAGAATTCTTTTCAATAGATGATTTAGCAATAGTCTAAATTAAAGGTTTATCAACAAAATCAAAACCATAAGAAACAGAACTTGATTGGGATTCACACTATAATAAGGAAATAATTTATAGTTATTTTGATTAGAAACAATCACGCTACCTAAACATAGATGAACATAGAATTAGAGATTACCGGAAAAAAAAGTCTCAAGTCAGTACCAGGAAATGACTTGCCCTAGAAATAGATCATCTCACTTGCTCCGTACCAAAGGAATCAACATCCAATCAAGTAACCAACCATACAAGATTGAGAATAATTGAAAAAATTAATAAAACAAAAAACTCCAAAATAGAGAGCAAACTACTCTAAAAAATGTAAAGATCATCCCTGTTTGATCCTTGAAAACATAAAATCATTATCATCACCCCAAACCAATCGTTTAAGCCTATTCAAACAAGAGTCATCACAATAATAAATAAAACTTCCTGTTCTCATAGACCACATTATCCCGTGCATGTTTAAACGAATAAAACTAATATAAAATCACAAAATAATAAATTGAAATATAAATAGTGACTAAATTTGCTAATTTGCTTGTCATATATAGCGCACAAGATTTGCTCTTTTGTCAAGTATAGATCCTCAGGTCTTCATGATTACCTTTTTCCCCAAGTATTTTTAAATTCTATTTTTCTGCCTTATTTGTTGATCATTTGTTGTTCATTGCTCATGTTCAAATCACCTTATTATATTTTCCACTAATTTCTTTAATATGTGTTACTCTTATTATTTTCCAATATAATAATTTATCATGTTCCTTCCTAGTTTTATCCCATCCAAGTTAACATTTCATTTCTTCCACACTAAAACTTGATTGAAAGTCACTTATTTGTTGCCCAACACTCCAATCTGTATAGTATAATTAGTTTGATGACAATTTAATAAAATCTAGTTTTAGGATTCTTAAATGGTATAGTAACAATGTTCTTTTTAAACAATGAACTATAAATCTTGAAGTTGCGCTGTCATCTGTATCCAATTATTTTGTTCTCGTAGAATCATACATTTCAATTTCTTTTCTTAGTCCATTGCTTTCATGTTTTATTAAATTTGCTCTGTTAATGTTTATTTTAGTAAATTTTATTTAGTGATTCATATGACATGTACTTTAACTTGAACAATCGGAATCAGTATGTTTGGATGCCTTGCTACTGTGCACATCTACTCTAACCTTGTTTAGGATATTTGGATCTTGAAAATGACAATGAAAGATTGGCCTGCTTTTGCTTTAAAAAAATGCAAGTAATGTTAATATGGTTTTAGAGTATCTGCAAAATAAATTTAGAAATTTTGTAGCATGATATTCTTATGCAATTTAGAAGTTTCTTGGATAATCCCTGGCTTCTTGAATGAGAATCAATTTATGGTAAACATGAAAAAGTTGGTTTTTTAGTAACTTGGAATTCAATTGGAGATGAATGCTAGTAAATCTCATCGTTCTCCTTAGAATCTTTATTGTGCAAATAAATTAAATAGTATCCCTTTCTCCGTTCTTCAGTGCGTCATAGAAAATGACTTAATTTGTTGTTATTTTTGGTTTCAGGCCTGCTTTAAACTCTTGTTCATTTTAAAATATAATATATTTCATGCAGGTACTTGTTGATATTGGAGAATTGATTCGCTTGTCTATCAATCATAATCAAAATCAGCTATTGGTCGGGACTACACATTTTAACCGTATTGAGATACCAACAACTTTGGATCCTCTTAGTGGTACTTGTCCTTTGAACACAATGTGTTGTTTTGTCTATAAGAGATAATTTATGGTGGAAAAACATGTTTTAGTTTGCCTATGGGATTACGGTACCTAGAGTATGTTTAAAAGTAAATTTTTTACTGAAAGGAAGTTGATTAACAGGGTTGTACATTGGTGCTCATGGCATGTACACCTCTGAGCTTCTGCATTTGAAACGGAGATTTGGTCAGTGGCATGAAGATGATGGAGCTAAAAAGCCCAAGGATTTGGAGTTTTATGAGTATGTTGAAGCCTATAAATTAACTGGGGTTCTTTCTATACCCGCTGGAGAGGTTTGCCTCCCCATTTCTCAAAATTTTTTAAATTTTGGTTATTTGATATATATATGCATTTCAATGGTTTATTAGATGAATGATCCAACAATTGTTTTCATTAGCGTTAGGGTTGTATTTTATTTTGTACATTTATGTGTTAGTAAGGTAAGATCAGATGTTTTTCATCACAATCAATTTGGTCGTAGGACTGAATGATGAAAATAGAGTTTCTTGTGAATTGTGAGCACTTGAAAGGGGAGCCTAACCCAATGGAATTATTTAGAACTTTTTCATTCAACTACAATTTCAAAGGGTAGATGGCATCATTGAATGATTGTTGTGGTTCATAGAGAGAGAGAGAGACAACAATTTTTGTTTTTGAGCTCATTGTCTTTTTTAAAGTATAATGTCATATCTATAAAATAATATGAATACAACAATGGAAATTAATAAGAATTTTTAGAGAAAAAATAAAATACATAATATATTATAAAAAAAACATGATGGACAAAGATGAAAATCCAATGGATCATGACAACAAAAGAAATGAAACTCTTTTTGAACGTCTTGCTTGAAGTCTGGTGAATAGAGGGAATTTTTTTAGTTGATGTCCCATCTTGTAAATATCATGGTTTAAAATTGCGCAATATGAGGCTCGCCTTTGCGCAATTCCAGTAAAAAACGCCTCGATGCTTACGTCTCGAGTTTTTTTTATGAGGCTTGCGCCTCAACTTGGTTGAGGCCCACCTCGCCTCACTGGCATGAGGCTTACGCCTCACGCTATATATATATATATATATTAAAACTTACATAAATCTTGAAGTAAATGCCCGACATTGGACTCAATAGGAGAGGAGGAAAGGGAGAGAGCAGTTCATCATAATGATGATTCAAATGAATAACCCCTTAGTAATGACAGTGCTGATGACTTATGAGTTCTTATGTGATATGCATTGTTATTTATTTTTGGAAATTGGAATTATATGTTAATGAAAAGAATACTGGGATTTGGGAAAGATATAGTTTTGAGTTGAACTATATTTCATGTCGTCTTATTATTGGGATATTTTGATTTCACTTCATATCTTATATTTTTTTATGTTTTATATTATTCACTCATTAGTATATAAAAAATTTATCATTTTATGTTTACGCAATCATTTGATTTTGAGTTTTACGCCTAAAACGCCTTGAGGCTTACATCTCGCCTCACGAATGAAAAACGCCTCGATACCCGAATACGCAATTTTAAACATCGGTAAATATGTTTTTAAACTTTTTATCTATCAAAATATTAACACTCTGAATTCTCTTATCTGAATCAAAAGGCTGCTGAGGATTATGGTCGTTTATGTCTTGCAAATTGGTGGGATATGAGGTGTTTTAAGAACATGTAGGTACGTGTCAATTATAATATTTGCAGGTGGTGCAATGATCAACTATTTGGGATTACCAGATTAGTTGGGTAGTTACAATAACATCTAATTCCAAAGAAGAGTCTATCATTGGTTCCAAGTTATGAGTGCATACTAGATTTAATGAAGGAGCATCCATCAGTTAGGAGGCTAGGTTTGAACATTAGTTTGTTCGCCTGAAGGTTAGATTTTCTAAGATTGAGATAGGCCTTGAAACATTTAGAGAACATATGCCCAAAAAATTTGCAAGAAGAGCATTATGATGGGATGCTTTCAATTTCAATCATCTGTTAATATCTATAAGAAGCCAATCCACACTTCTTTTAAAATGAAAAGTAATGTCTAATTCAATCAGAACTATGTCAACATAAGGTGTAGAAAGGCTAGCAATAGCAAGTGATAGCAGCATCCACTTGCAAATCTTTTCTCGATATAGAAGCTAGCGAGCTGAAAGTGGATTGTTTTTAGTAATGAGGCAAAGCTGTGGTAATGCAACTCTAACAAGAGTGATAGATTGTTCCTTAAAAGGGTTAAGGAGATTATTTGAGCATTCATATAAGATCACTACTAACACAATAGGATCGCTGAAAAAGAGCTAAATGTAATCACTTCTAAGGATATTTTTATAAAATGCTGAGGGTTTGAGAGTCCAATGGAATAGTCTCACTAACTTGATGTTTTTAAACCATAAAATTAATAGCCCAATATGTGAAGAGCCTCTGATTTTAACCTTTTTGTTGAAGGACCTTTTTAAATGTATTCTCTAGTTATTTTTACTTTGATGCATAATTGAAGTTAAATTTAGTTTAGCTATATTTTTGTTACTTAATTTGTAACTATATTAGGAATAGCCTTAATTATTCTGTGGTGGCCTATGCCATGGTATTCATTCCTAAAAACATTTAATCTTTTTAAATGCCATAAAATTTCTATTTGAAGAATCAATTAGTTATCTCCCTTTCATATAAACCTTAGTTGCTTGCAAAGTTATCTAAAAAAAGTGTAAATTTTATGATTTTGTGCTTTTTCCATAGGTTGTTTTCCGTGCAAAAGTCGGAAAGAAAAATCAACTTCCTCATAAAGGGATAATACCTGAAGAATTTGGCGTGGTAACATACCCATCATGTTATTATGGAAACTTTCATTGCATTAATTCTTGCTTTAGTATTTGACTTGAATTTTCTATAGATTGCTAGATACAGGGCGCAAGGGAGGCTTGCTGATCCTGGATTTCAAAATCCTCGATGGGTTGATGGAGAGCTTGTTATTCTTGATGGGAAGGTTTGTGCACATTATATACAACTTCAAATGTGCATACTATGTACAAGTACAAACAATAATGGCTTGCCCATCCAATTGTTCCTTTTTTTTCATCCTTTGATTTTAAATGCTTATAATTTGGAGTGAGTCTTAAGTTTTTTTGCATTTATTCATTTGGGTTAAAAATATATATTTTTGTATATCTATATTTTTACAGAACATCAGAGGTGGCCCTATTATTGGATTCGTTTACTGGGCTCCTGAACATCATTTCTTGGTATTCTTCAACCGATTAAAGCTTCCAGACTAGATCATTTCTAGAAACGGAAGAGTAAGAGACTGCTCAATTTCAAGTTTCAAGGTATTTGTTGCCTCCTTATTCTCTAGTTATTTCTTTGAATATTCTTGTTTTGAAAGCTATGATTAATGAAATTTCGATGATTTTAGAAACATTTAAAATAACCAACCAGTCTTGTAATTTTTAATGTTGCATGAGTAAGCAAGAGAAGTGTGACTTTTCCAACATTGACAATACCTTGTTTTGGCTCGTGGAAAGAGTATATTATCAGCTAAAACAAAGTGTTTCAATTGTAACAACTTAAACTTGTTAGTGATTCTATTCATTGGATACTTGGATGTGGTATGAAGTGTTTAATGTGATTCACTTTTAGTTTTCTACTAAAGAGGGGTTTACCTTCACTATAGGAAAACATAGGAAAACATAGTATTTCAGGCAAAAAAAAATGCCTGAAAAATATCAAAATTCATCAATACTTGTCTTTTTTTTTTGTAGGTTTTAAACCGTTGGAAAACCCCTCATTTGAAATGACTCTGATGAGCTGAAAAATCACCAAAAATAATTTCTTGTGGTTTATCCGCCAAAATAAAGCTTGAAAAATGACGTCTTGACCGCCACAAAAATAGCAGGAGGCACCGACAGGTGTGGCTATCAGATTTTCTGGTGGCTTGACTGGCGGAAAATCCACCAATATTTTATGATAGAAAGTCTACAAGCAAGACCACACGGAATGTCAATGAACACCTCGCCGATTATCTCATTTTCTAGTTGATACAATTTTATTTTAACGGAAATTTCGTAGGAAATCTGTATTGCAAATAAAATAAAATAAAATAGCTGCCCTACTTTATACAAATTGATAGACATTATAGATATAAACTCAACTAAAATATTCTATCACTAATTTCAAATATAAAGTTCAATATGAAATTCAATATAAAATTCCTCATAGAATTTGAAACAAATGATTGTATCAAAATATAAAATTTAACTTTACACACTCTCACTCTTACTAATATTCATTTGTATCTTCATCATCATCTTTCTTATCCTCCTCTTCCTCCAGTTTTATTTTTTTCTATTGTAGGCTGCAAATTACTTCTACCTCAACTTGCACTGTACTTGTGTGAGCATTCACTCAACTTGCACTGTACTTGTTTGAGCATTCATTTCTTTAGTCAATGCAATCATCTGTCTTCTCAACACCTCATTAATTGTGTTATCTCCACCGTTAGAATAAGATGTTTGCACATCTTATGCCCTGCCCTACGCTCCTAATCCATAAATTCGTCCCTTCTATTTTCCTCCAACACTTGACTCTACAAATCAAAATCTGATTGTTGAGATCATCCACCTGTAGACCCTTCTCTTATGCTTGGTTGACCTTAAGATTCCTAAGCTGCATATATATATATATATATATAATGTATTAGTATATCTTCAAAAAATTAACAACTTAATAACATTTTTAAATGTTTACATAAACTCGTTATGATCTCCTAATGTTCAGAAGAAAGCCATTTTATCTTTTAAAATTCAGTTTAGATATGGTGATATTAACTGTCACATGATTTAAATCAGTACTTCATGAAGTGCTCAAGTATGTTTATCCAGGAAAAAAAAAAGTATGTTTATCCAGGATATAAGTGGATGGAACTACTTTTCAATTAGTTTAATCGGTTTACTGATGCTATATCATTTTATGCTCTTCAATAATTACAGCTATATTCTGACTAGTTAAACTGACCTTATTCCAATGTTTATATTTTTGTTGGGAAGATTTACATACTTACCACTCTATACTATTCTATTTACATATTTAACACTTAGAACTTTAAAATTACATATATACCACTCATAGTTTATTTTCATATCAAATATGTGTGGTAGAAATGAAATGTATGAGTGGTAGGAAGGAAATATGAGTGGTATATTTGATATTAAAATAATATAGGGTGTTATGTATGTAATATTGATGTTTTGAATGTTAAATATGTAAATAGGATGGTATAAACTGGTATGTATGTAAATTTCCCTTTCTTGTTTTGCTTGACAAATTTACAACTGCTGTTAAATATATTTCATAAACTTAGCATCCTACTTGCATTATTTCTCTCTAAATTTGAAATAGAATATTTTTCTTTTGCTGAAAGATAGGATTGATGGCATCTCTGTTTAAAGTAGAAGGCTTCAGAACAGGTCTTGCCAGATATAATATGCTTCTGATGCTGCACATGTGGCTCGGTATTCCTTTCATGGAGTTATAATCAATGCTGCCTTGAACAGTCTTCATGATCCCTCTTATAAATTTCGTTTTCTAGCTGAGTTTGAAGTTGCTTCTCAAGTCCAGGTGCTGTTTGGTAATAGCAGCTTTTAAAAGCTTAGGCTGTATCTTCTTCGGATCAGCCTGCCATTTCTCCCCCTTTCTTGCAGTCATTCTCAGGTCTTCTCAGGTATAAATTATGGCTTCTTCCATGTACAGTGTTTACCTGCTTGCTTAGTGTTATTCTTCTCAACAACTTAGGTCAAGAAATGTAAAGATCCCGCACTGTATTTGATCATAATATTTAGAGAATAATTCTCTTTATTAAGTAAAGCAAAATAGAGCCTCAGCTGAGAATTAGGCTTCGTTTAGGATGGCTTTTTTATTATATTATTAAGTTACTTTTTAGTATCAAAATCTCTTGACGGGCGGCTTTAGATTCAGGATATATAGAATGCAGAATAAGCATATATATGAAAAGGTTGGAATAGCTTCAGCAGTACATAAGATTAGAGGGTCGCATTAGGTGGTTTGCTCACAAAGTGCGGGCCTTCGAACGACCCAGTTAGGAGAGTAGATGTTTTAGATTTGTCTTATCTTAAGAAAAATAGAGGTAGCTTGATGTTGGATTTAAATGAGAATTTGACTCTTAATTATTCACAATGGAGAAAAATAATTTATTTAGGCTTCATTTGGGATAGCTTTCTCACTGCTTCTTGAAGCAATTTTTAGTTAAAAATTTTTAATTTTTATATTTTAAAGCTGCTTTAAGAATCATTAAGAAAGCCGTCCCAAACAAAATCTTAGTCAAATCCATATAGTGAGATAGAGGCTTGATGTTGCTATTATTGTTCTATTTTTTTAAATAATTGGGTGCCATTTTTTTGGGTTATATCTGAGATATTCGAGTTGTAAAATCTTAAAATATAAATTATAGTAAAATCTATAGTATTTTTTAAAAAATACAATAATCAATTTGATGAATATATATACATTAAAGAACACTAAATATTAAAAAATAGCTAACAATCAACGTCTTTGTTGCCATAAAAAATTATTAATTTCATATCATTGATTTCGAAGCTTAATGAATAAAAATCTCAGTTTTTAGTAGAGATTTTTTTCCCAAAAAAAAAAAAAAACCCTAAAAAAAATAAAAAATTCAGTTTTTAATAGAGATTTTTTTCCAAAAAAAAAAAAAACCCCTAAAAATTTAGATGGAATAGCAGATGCTGATCATGCAAGCACAAAAAAAAAAAAAAATAAAAAAAAATAAAAAAAATAAAATAAAATAAATTAAAATAAAAAAATAAAAAATGCTGATGATGCTAGCACAAATCATCCCTATTTTAAATAGTGGTGCTATATTTAGCAGACGGATACAGCCAAAAAAAGATAATATTATTGAGTGGTCCATTTATAAAAGTAGCTCTTCAATTGGAGAGATTATTGAGTGCAAATGTTGAACGCATCAGGAGATCAATTTGGAGACGTCACATCACCCAATATATTATGTATGTGACAAATTCAAATTGACCTCCAGATGTATTCAGCATTCCCACATAATAATTTTTCCTTCAGAAAATATTTTTCTTCAACTATAAAGTTCTCTATTCAAAAAAATTATTTTTGCATCTCTCTCATTGTTTGTTAGTTGAAAATTTAGCTCTCGACTAAGAAGCTCTAAGTTTGGAACTTTTATTTCGTTCGGTTGACTGGATGCAAGAAACATCCGGTCGTAG